ATTTTTAAGGTATGCTCTTGTTAATAAGTTAGTAGATGATGTCCTTCCAAGTTTATTTTTTGACATTATCTAAGTATGCTCTTGTTATAAAGTTAGTAGTAGGGGTGAGCAAAAATTCAGGATACCCTGATATGGAACCGGAACTTGTTGATCAAGTTCCGGTTCCGGTTTCGGGTAATAAAATTAGGAACTTGTTGCAACAGGTTCCGGTTCCGGGTAATAAAATTTTGGATCTAGAACCTGTAGGGTACCCTGTTAGTACAGGTTTTCTATAGGGTACATGAAACCGACCTATATGGTATTAAAAATTCTAGACAATTAGTGTTGGTTTGTTATATTTGAAGTACTATACTAAAGTTGTAAGCTTTTATTGTGATCATCTATTTTTAAAAAAAATAAATTTGTCACAATTTATCAAGTAACTATTAAACTTACTTTGACAGACAGGGTACCCTGTTTAGGAACCGAAACCTACAGGTTCCGGTTCCGGTTCTCAATTCTTAGGAACCTGTTGCAACAGGTTCCGGTTCCGGGTCTTGATATTTTTACAGGGTACCCTGCTACGCTCACCCCTAATTAGTTGTGAATTCTAATATGAGCTCGCTCTTGCTTTTGTCCGGTCAGCATACGTGGTAACGCAGATTATGCGTGTTGCACATTTGATGTTTTTGCCTATTTGTCCTATGCCTAACAGTAGAAATGCATCATTATTGACCCTTGTGGCCCTTCACTGTTCTTTTGCTGCCTCGACCTTTTTATGAAATTTGAGACTCTGAACACCAATCTCTAATATCATGTTCTGCATGCCTATTCTACTTTTATAACCTACATGCAACAGTTAGAGCTGTGAAAAGCTGACCCGATCCGAAATACCGACCATAACCCGACCTATTAACCGACCCGTCTGAACCCAAAAAAAATGGTGACCCGAACTCAACCTGAAAATAACCCTAAACCCGAGTTGGCCCGAGTATTTGAGACCCGAACCCGAACATTAACCGACCTAGAGACAACCCGACCCGAATGTAACTCGTAAATTATTAACCTGAACCGAACTCGACTTGAATCGAAATTGACCCAAACCCGTTTTAACCCATCAAAACCCGAATTCAACCCGACCCCAATGTAACCCATAAATTATTAACCTCAACCGAACCCGACCTGAATCGAAATTGACCCAAACCCGTTTTAACCAAATGACCCGACTTGATTATAACCCGCAAATTATTGACTTGAACTGAACCCGACTTAAACCCGAGAATGGCCCTACCTGATTATAACCCGTAAATAATTGACTTGAACCGAAACCGACTCGAACCCGAGAACGACCCTAACTTGTTTAAACCCGTAAAGACCCGAATTTAACCCGACCTATTTTTCACTCGACCCGAATGTTACCCGACCTTTTACTAACCCGACCCAAACCCGATAAGATGTATGACCCGTCTCAAGCATGATCCAACCCGAACCCGACCCGCATATGTCATGACATTAACCCGTATTGACCCGACCCGAGATGACCCGACTCACACTAACCCGACTCAAACCCAACCCGTTTACCCGAATTGACAGCTCTATCAACAACTATGTTTGGGTACATATCTAAGTTTGATTTCACATGTTAATGTCATAAATTTGTACCAGAGGGGACTCACCTAAACATTGGAGACAAGGATTCAACAATCATGAAACAATATCCAAAATATAAGACATCTCCAATTTGCTTTTTATTTGGTTTTTTGGTTCAAAATTATTGATTGATATATAAGAGCTTAATGACATTATTATTGAAATATTTGTCATATTGACTGAAGTTATGACTTATGAGAGATTTAACAAGCGGATTTGTTGCTTGAATTTTCCATGTGCTATTTATGTTGATATTTTCAACTTTCAAGCAAGAAGAACTTGTGATTTTTGGAGTCTAATTTGATAATTTTAATAATTGAGTCAAATGTGGTTGCTAATTTAAATATCTGTTTCACAATCTAGGGTTTAATTTCACATTATCACACATTTTATTTTATTTTTGTATCCAATTTAGGACTCTTCTTTGGAAAAGTATTGAAATATTAGTCATATTTACCAAATTATGGAAGATTAAACAAGCGGATTTGTAGATAAATTTGTTCGTTTCATCACACCTTTTGACAAAATGCTGCTTGCCTATGATATTAATGCTTTTTATTGGCAGCAATTATACTAAATTACTAATACAAAACAATATTAATTGACTCTGTTTTTGTTTATTATTAGTCAAGTTGATGATTCTTGGTGAATGGTGGTAGTTAGTTTGTATCGTTTTGTATTTGTATAATGGGTGCATCTATAATGATAGGATTGGTATGTTAAGGTATGAATAAGCTAAACCTTAGAAATTGCTTGTTGAAATTGATAGGATTAGTTAGTTTAATTAGAACAATCAGTGAAATTAGGGAATCCCATTATTCTCTTGAGCAATTGAGCATTAGTCTTACGAGTATGAATTAGACAAGGATTAATAATTTGGTTCGATGTCCAATTGTTCAACAATAAGTGAGCTATGCGATTACAAGAGCTGAAGCAATGGTTGCTGTTTTTTAGGCTACTTCTCTATACAATTTGTTCAAGCAGGTCCTTTGAGTTCTCAATAGCATATAAACTTGTAGATTTCATCATTGGCTCACTAGTACTTTAAAATTTGTTTGAACTTTAGATAGCACTGTCGTTTTAAACTCTGCCATAGGTTATAGTCATCAAGGGGCACTGATGGAAGTGTTCATATTGTGGTTTCTGGTGTGGATAAGCTGTTGGCTTTAGGTTTATAGTAGATCAACAGAAGTAGGATGGTAGTTTGAGCTTGAGCATGCAGCATAGCTACATGGTGATATATCATCTGACTTGAATGAGAGAATGACAATGCTATATGATCTTAGTCAATAAAGAAGTAAAGGTTATACAGAATTACAGAGTACAATTTTTCCTTCAACCTTTCTTCCTTTTTAGGTGCTTTCTATCCGCCATGCTGAAATAAGTAGTGTTGCCTTTGTTTACTTGGTTTTTACCTTTATAATTCTAGAATCCCGTGGCTAGCGGAAAATTAAGTAATTGATTTCCTTAACCTTTCTTCCATTTTACGGCATTCTTGTCATCAGCAGAGAGAGAATATCATTTTTTTTTTTTTTTTTTTTTTTTGCTTTTCTCTGTTCATATTATTTTAGAAGAGGAAGGGAAGATATATCGAGATCAAAATCAGTATGCCAAGTTGGAGCTTGCTGCTGCTATAGGAAGTGAGCAGTCATTTCAGGAAAAGCTCTTGAAAGAGAACAAGGAATCCTAGGAAAAGCAACTAGAGAAACGAATACAACAGTGTAATGAAGTTGAGGTGAATACTGACTTGGGAGTTTAAATTCAGGGATTGAAATGTAATGTGTGATTTTTTTTTTATTTATTATTTTTTTTTTACTTGGTTGAGATGATTTAATTTGTATTAGAAAGTTAAAAATAGATAAGAAATTTTTACTACAAGGTTTAAAAATTACCTTGATACTATTGAAATTGTAGCTCGTTTTTGGTTTTTGATGTTGCATTTCAAGTTAAGCTCAAAAAGGAAAACCATGCTCAAAAGTTTGGAGAAAGTGAGACAAATGTTAGAAGATTTTTTTGACATGGCTCGTAAATCGTTTCTTTGTGTCCTGCTCTTTGATGAGATTGACAACGTTGTCCGTATATAGTGATAAAAAAGTTATTAAGTATCATGTAAAATTACATTGTAAATAAAAAGGAAGTGTTCTATGACGAACTTATATATCTATAATCTTGTGGTTATTTTTTACGTTCTTTACGAATTGTTTTATTTGGAAACACAATTAAAGTAGTTATTGTTGTAGAATATTGAGTTAAATAGCCATTTGGGGAAAGAGATTATGTGATTATATTATTATTGAGAGAGAGAGAAGCGCTTAGGAGCTAATTTTTGAAGAAAGATCACTAGAGAGAGAGAGAGAGCATTTAAAAAAGATCAATTAGAAAACGAAAGATCACTTATGAAAATCACAACAAATAGCTTAAGAAAATCAAGAAACCAATTAAGAAATATCAATTAAGAAAATCAACCAATTAAGAAAATCATTTACGAAATTAATTCAGAAACCATTTTTAAAAGATCACTTAAGAGAAACAGAGTAGTTAGCTTAGGGAGATAGAGAAATAGAAAAAGAGACCACTTAACAGAGATCACTTAAGAATATCAGGGCAAATAGCTTAGGAGAGTTATACCAATTAAGAAAGATCACTTAAGAAGAAAATCAATGCAATTAGCTTAGGAAAGACAGAGAGACCCCACTTACGAAAAATCACTAAAGAAAATCATGAAAATTAGCTTGGAAACAAGGCTTGCTAAAATGCGAGAAAAAGAAAAAAACATGGCAATTAGAGAGAGAGAGAGAGAGAGAGAGAGAGAGAGAGAGAGAGAGAGACCACTTGAGATAGAGAGACCACTTGGAAGAAAATTAGAGAAATTAGCTTTGGAGAGAAAAAAGACTAATTAAGAAAAATCACTCAACAATATGTACCTTTACATAGTAATTTTGGATTGGCTAATAATTTTACAACATACTTCCTCCGTTCTTTTTTACTTGACCCGCTTTGACTTTTATACTATTCACCACCCCTCCTTTGACCGTGTTTTTGTGAATAATGTGTAAGGATAAACATATTCATGTTGGATCATTTTGAATTCGTCTCAATAAGAACTATCATAATATATAACTTTTATATTTTTTAATTAGGAGAGTTAAAGTTATTGACCGTTAAAGTTTTGCACTGGCAAGCGTATTAAAAGAAATAGGTCAAGTAAAAAAGAACAGAGGAAGTACACAGTATAAAGTTTAAAAAATAAAAAATATTAGGCCCATACCAATTTATTTATTTTAAACAAGTTTGTAGGATTGTATCCACTTATTATATAACAAGATCATTTTTCCACATATGCTATTATTACCCAATTAATATATTAAATATTAATTTCTAATATTTCTACTTTTCATATTTTTCCTTAATATGTATTTTTACATGCATACAAAATTTGTATACTTCGCAAACATAATTAACATGTAACTATGTGACAGTATACATAATTTACGGACAATTATCATCTCCTTTGAGGACCGCGCGCGCAGAGCCACAATTAGGAATATTTAAAAGAACAAAATAACAACATATTCAAAGTTCATCACGCAAGACATTTTGAGCGGGGTTTGCTCCAATTGTTGGAGGTACATTATCATGCTGTACAACATTGAGTCCATCTGCCACTGGTTGTCCAGCACCAGCTCCTCGATACATACCTGCTTTTAAGGATGCAACAACTACTCTCTGCAGTTTCAATATTCCAATACGCTTTGAAACAACATAAAGAACAACTAGAGAGAAGACGAGGAACCCTGCAAAAATTAGGATTCTGCAAAGAGAAAAAGAGTGTTCTTTTCAAATTCCAGATAGTTCAATATAAATGGCAAAGAAAGTAAAGGGCAGAAAAAACTTGTATACCGGTCTATAAGGTCTTGGCGCTGCATCGTGGAAAGTAGGTTACGTGTTCGCATCAACAATGATCGATGTCCTTTGTATTCACTTTCAGCTTTCTTCAATGTTCCAGTCGATTCCTCTACAGGTTAAGAAATCTAATTAGCCTCAAATTAGCAGCTTACCCATATCCTAGTCTATAAAAAGAACATCTAATTAACCTCAAACAAGCTACATATCATTATCCTAGTCCAGCAATTTCACAGTCATGTTTAATCTCATAGACCAATATCATATTGCAATTTGCTAGCAAAACTCATGGGCTCCGTTGATAACTCAGCAGGAAATCGAAATACTGCAAACCCATTTGGTAGTAGATCAGCAAGTTATCATTCCATGGGAAACAATTTCCAATAAACCAAAGTGGAACTTAATTTTAGGACTGCTTGCTCTTTTCCTTAACAAGGGCACAACTGATCTAATAATAACCTTTGGCTTTTGTTCATTAAAATCAGATCGTTTAAAACAGCTAACCAAACAGAAGAGTATTATAGGGAAATAAGTCAATGACATCCATAAAAGCCAAATCAATAACATAAAACATCTCAAGACTTTTTACACCTCCTTTACAGGACACAGGTGACCTAGATATGCTGGGCATCTAGAAATTGGCAAAGTTAGAAGGAAGTATAAGAGACGTTGCAAACAAGAAACAACAAAAGCAGAAAACTGTAGTCCAGGGGAAAGTAAAGGGGGGGAAAATAGGGATGAATCAACATACCAAAAGTCATTAATGTACTTGTACTTCTGTCCAACTCCTATGCTTAGAGAAAGACAAGAGTAAAGGAACAATGTGAGTTCTTCAATTAATATTACCTTGACATAAAATGTATAATAACCAAACATTATCCAAATACTAGTACAGACCTGAGCCATAATCTGGCGACTACGACGAAGGCTCTCAGTAATGCTTTCAGCTGTAGACGTCATCCCGGCCTTTGTCCTTATATACAATAGAATGCAATCATTACTTAGCTAAATTTCCATACTATGGTATGATTAAAAAAGAATGTACAGCAATATCTCACTGTCCTATTCACAGTAACAAACTAACGAAGCATAGCACATACTGTAAATTACGTCTACGCGCAGTAGACTCGCTACCACCGCCTAGAAGAAGTTCCCTCTGAAATCAACAGATTGGCTACAGTGAGACAAAATCTTATACATAAAAATTTTCAAAAGCAGTGATGGAAGATTCTTTAAAACTAACAATGGATACCTGGGGTATTTTAAAGTCTGAACAGTAGAGAGCATGAAAAAACCTAGGATCCTAACAAAGCCCAAAATTGTTTATTCCTGATTGTAATAGAGTTAATATTCTTATTTATCCTCTATATATACCCCTAAACATATCATTAATAATTAGAAAATAATGACAAGAAATGATATTCTACATTCCTTAAAGAAGAATCTCATTCCAGTAATCATGAAGTTCCTAAATCCTAGTAATACAGTTACAAAATTCTTCCCTTTCATTGTTTTATGATTCACTCAAGTATGAATTTCAAAGATAATAATAATCAGTTCATTAGCACGACAGCTATGTAGTTATGGAAACAAATAAAAATTATTGCCAACTTGTAGGGTGTAAAAATAGAAGAATGTAATGGAGACCTAGGGCTGGGGGAAACGAAATCCATGGATGAAACTTGAAAGATCAATGGAAAATGAACCTACACAAGCTTTCCATTCATAATACATAAGAGGTAGTTTAATCATTTCCTCTTATTCATCAACTTATCCTTTTCGCTCCAAAAAATCACGTTCAAAATTTTATAGTACCTATGTAGAATCTTACCCACTTCACAGTACCAGCCATGAAAACCATAGGAACAGAATATTGGGTTTTGTTGTTGGTTCAATAAATTCATCTCCCATTTCAACACAGTTATGCTTGTCATCAGCCTCACTTCATCAGGTTTAAGGTCCTATCTGTTTCCTACATTCTTTTCTCAATATGCAATTCCTTCTCTAAGTATAAGAGATCAATACTTATGCTAAATATTAGGAAACACTGAATATTTCTAACCCTAAATCATGTGTTTAAGCCTTCAACTCAATAAGTGAGTGCTCGAAATATTGATAATATGATAGAACTCCATAATAGGCATTTATCCATTCATCTGAAAAACAAGTTAAGCAACAAAGCAAGATTCAATAATCCCTTAGGATAGCTCATATCATATGTTCATATGGGGCAATGGTGTCCTTTATAGTCAATAAACCCAAGATCTCTTTTTAAAACAAAAGGAATTGCAAATATTAAATTAACATTTAATAAATCCGAAGGGTATGGCCCAATACATAAGTTAACGAAAAAAGCAAACAAACAAGCTATGATCAACAGATCTTTCTAGTCAACAATACTGTTTATGACATACAGAACACATTCCAGTAGCTGTCTTGGACGGAGATAACAGCAGAAGGTATACATATAGTGGTTTTTGAGTAACAGCAGAAACAGATGTTTAAAAGCAAAAGATTATCATTCAGTACAAAGCCAACAACTCTATAATAAGCTATGAAGGTAATGGATGACCTTTTCTCATACACTCTACTTAAAGAATTCACTAAGCAGCGTGGCAAAGCCAAAGTGTATCATTATGAAGGTCATGAATAAAGAAACCATAAACAAATTAACTAAGATGGACTTTTTTTTAAAACCATAAACAAATTAACTAAGATGGACTTAATTACCTCTTTCTGAGCAGTTTTCCTGCTGTTCACCTTCGCTTGCAAATTAGCATTCCTCAAAGCAATTCGCAAGCTACATAATAGAAACAATGCTCAAATTGTAAACCCCAACATTTAAAATAAAATAAAATAAAATAAAATAAAAATTGTATTGTATTCCTTTTCCTTTACCTTTGAGATTGTTCCTTCCAGTTCTCGAGAAGAGCTTGGGCAGACTGAACCTCGTCGTAGGTTGGAAGTTGAGGAGCCAATGTATCAAGCTTAAGATGCAATGAGCTAAGCATAGCAAGACCATCCTGCGCCAAACCGTTTAATCGAGGAAGCGAATTCTTCTCTCCACTAATGTCTCTAGAACTATCATAATCTTCTATCGCCTTTATATGTCCTTGAGTCTGAAAACTTGTTTCAGACCACTGTTTCTTAACTTCCTCCACAGCCTTAGCAATCTCATCCATTATGTATAGTCAGAAGTAATAACCTTCAAAGCAACAAACACCCAAATTTCATAGTTTGATCCCAACATTTAAAGGTTCTGCAACACATTAGCAACTAAATTTGATTGAATGATCAAATTAGGCATGAAAAATCGCATAATTTTAGGGAGAAAACGCACATTTGATTCAATTATCAAATTAGGAAAATAGTTTTCTTCTCTAGCAACATAATCGGTCGTAATGTAATTTGAATCAATAGTCCAAAATTTCGAACCCTAAAACAGTTAAACTAAATTAGATCAATGATACTATTATAAAAAAATAAATTAGATCAATGATAAACCCTAGATTGTAAAATTTGATATTCGATGATTACAAAAAGAAACAACAACTTACCACAGAAGCTGCTTCAATGGAGAACGTGGACTGCGCTTCAATGGAGACTGAGGGCAATTAAAGAAAAAAAAAACAATAATAAAGGGAAGGGAATTGAACGGGAAGGGATGAAAGGAAATGGGTAAAAAGAGGGCAAGATTTTTTCAATCAAAGAAGAATTATTAACTAGTTTTTTTTTTTTTTTTTTTTTTTTTTTTTTTTTTTTTTTTTTTAAGGAAAGAATTATTCACCTTAATAGAGAGAGTAATAGACGATTTTTTTTTTCTAATTTAATACTACCTCCTTTCTTTTTAGTCACGTATTCCTTTTTAAGAAATTTTTTTTTAGTTTATATGGATTTCATTCTCTCTCACTCTCTCTCCTCTCCTTAATATATGTATCTAAATCAAACGCGTCAACTAAATAGAAACGGAGGAAATATTTGTTAATATGTACAAAACTTTAGCTCAAACTAGGTTACGTCCCGTTTTAGCCAATTTGTATTTACCTTATTAAAAATTTACATTAAATAAATTTTAACCAAAAAAAATAAAAAATCAAATCTAAAAGATACACCAGGAGATGACACATGTCATTGTTGGTGTGTCTTTTAGTATATATTATTGATTATTGATTATTGATGATTATTGATTATTGATTGATTATTGATTATTGATTCAGATATTAGAATGTTAAATCGATGATTATATCAAATAAATTTATAAAATGGAATGTTACAAAATTATACTCCGTAATAAAGAATGTTATGATAATTATTCTAAGATTAAGTGTTAAATTAAGGAAAAATTTTAAATTACTACCCAAAAATATATCTATTTTCAAAATAACTACTCGTTTATTTTTTATTTTTTTTATATATTTTACCACCCTTTAAATTAAAAACATTAATCAGATTACCACCCATTTTAAAATTCCGTAGGATTTCTATTATGTGGACCCACCCAACGGCTAGTAACGGCTATGTCTAAGCATTACAATCAGCCATGTCTTCACTCCAGCTCCCCCTTAAACCAATTTATTGAGTACAAGACAACCTAAAACCAAAAGAAAACAAATTAAAAAACAAGAGTTTGCTGTCTGAATTGTCACTACTACTGATCATCTTCTTCTTGTCACCACTAAGAGTCGTTGGTTGAGGCTCACATAAGATAAATCCACCGGAATTTTGAAATGGATGGTAATATAAGTAGTTTTTGAATTTAAGGGTTGGTAAAATAAAAAATTAAAAAAAATAATGGGTGGTTATTTTGAAAATTGGTACATTTTTGGGTGATAATTTAAAAAATTTTCTTAAATCAATTACAATTACAAAATTTTGCTTCCAAATGCAGGGAGATGGAAAAGAGAAAGAAAGATTAAAAAAAATGAGGAAGAGAGGTGAAACATGACATAGAGGAGAAAATATGTTAACTATGACGATGAAGGAATTTAATGAAAGAAGGTAAGTGAAGGAGAAAGAGAAAGAACAAAAAAAGAATGAAATAAAAAATGGTTTGACCCCTTATTAAAAGTTAGATGCCAAGCATAAGATTAGTTTTTACCTGCTACTTTTTTTTGGCGCTACAAGAGGCAGAGCCCCGGGCACAAAATAAACAAAACAAAAACTAAGGGGGTAAAAAAATGTAGCATAGCCACTTGAGGAGCGTCCGCGCCATATTAAAGAGCGCCCGCTTTAAAGGGTCATTGATTTGGGGCTGATTCGGTGGACGATTGAAGCGGTTGCACTGTTCTTATTGCTAATCGACGGTGCTATTGGTCGATTTTGTTGCCGGTGGTGGATTGCTCCGATATTTTCTAGGTTGGATATGGTGGGTGACAGTGGTTGTGTTTGCGGGGGATGGCTATTGAGGTTGAAAATTGGTGACAGATTGGAAATTTTAAGTGGTTAATTAGGGATGCGGCATGTGTTGCGGTGGTTGTACGGCTGGTTTGGAAGGTAATGTGATGAAGTTGTGCGGGGTGGCTGTGAGTTGACTTGGTGGATAAGGGGAGTTGTCTTTGTGAGGTGAGGGAGTAGGGGATTGTGTGTGGTGATGGATAATGATTTGAGGTAGTGTAGGTTAAGAGTGAAGAAGAGTGGCAGCATAGCAATGTTTGCTTGGCTCAAATTGTGTGCCTCGAACATGACCTCAAATTGAAACACTTGCTTCTAATAAAAAATGTCGAATTCACATCTACACAAACCATACAAAAGTAAAATAAAATAATAAATGAAATGAAATGTTAAATTAGAATTGAAAATAAAAGGAAAGAGAAAGGTGAGAAAATTATTCTTGAACTAAGAAATATAAATAAATAACAAAATAAGCTAAAAAGTAAAAGCTAATAAAAATGCAAAAATGACCAAATCAAAGGATAAAAGAAGAGAATAAGAAAATAAGAGAAATAAAGGCTAAAATGAGAGGAAATTATTAGAAACTAAACTAAGAAATGACCCTTAAAATAGTCATAAAAGTGACATAAATGTCACTTTTTACCATGAAAGGAGAAAGACATAATATTAAAATGTAGTTTTTTGCCAAAAAAAAATGAAGTGTAACACTTATTAAAACACTACTGTATTATGGGGATCATGAAAGAGAAAATATGTGAGAGAGGATATATTTTTTCATAGAAGAGAGAGAAATGATAAAATAATTTGAGTGGGATTTAAAGTAAGAAAGAAAAATGATAAAATATAGTATAAAGTTACCAAATACAGAAGTGATGCATTTAAAAAAGTTGGTCCCTAATTTAAAGGGTTTAATATATTTCCTTTTCCGTGTTAAAAAGATTCATTTAAAAAACACCCTTAAAAAGAAAGTGATAATAATAATAATAATAATAATAATAATAAGAACAACAACAACAACAACAACAACAACAACAACAACAACAACAACAACAACAACAACAACAACAACAACAACAGAGGGAGTACTTATTAAAACATGGAAGGAGTAGTAGCATTAACATCAACTAGTTATGTTGTCAATCTAATGGAGTTTATACAATAAGCCAGCCAACTTATTTGTACATTTAAAGTAAAATAAAAAAAAAGAAATTTCATTGTACACATGCATACCTTTACAATTTTAATGATGTGTACTTTTAGCAAAATAATATAGGCAGTATAGTGTCCATTAAAATATGCTTGTTGCTCTCGCTCCCCCCCCCCCCCCTCCCTCCAAAAAGAAAAAAGAACAAAAAATCAAAATCACCTAAGGTGTAAACATTTATATTCTTGGAATTTTTGTATTGCCGATAAAAATAAGTGATAGCAAAGAATTGGTTTTACTCACCAGCTTTCATGTATCAAACTATCAATACATTTTAAGTTCTCAATAAATTTAACTTATTATCATCATTTACTATAAAGGGGAATGTTTTCATCAAAATTTTGTGTCCCTTTAAACCTTTCTTGATTTTTTTTAAAACATAAAAAAAATATAAGTAGCTATTGATGTAATTCAATTTTATATCTAATGTCATTGTGTTGCATTTGAAATAAATATGAAAAATTAACTAGTACTCATGTGTAAAGACAGCTAAAAAGGATAACGACAGAAGATTAGATTGATTCTTTGGTTTAAATATCAAGCCACTAATAAGAACATTACGAATGTCTTGTATGTAAAAGCAATTGCAATATAGGGTGGAAAAAAAGACCATATTACAAATTATTTTTCCCAAAATTAATGCACAAATGAACTCGTTTTAGAGAAGGGGGATGAATCAGGCATGACACCACCAACAATATCCAATCTTCTTTTGCTTAACATTCATAATTTACTATGATTAAAAGAAAGTAAATTGTGTAGTCTTCTTCCCCTACCCAATGTCTTCAAAACTCTCCTACTCACTCAAAAATATGTGGACACAGAATCTAAAGAAGGTGCTCGAGCATCATACTTATTCTTAGCTTTACCACCACCATTCTTGTTATTATCATCATCTTCATCGTTTTTACCACATACTATGGAACATTCGTACCCACAAATGTTTCCAAAACATGAGATTTTACCAGCTCCACCATCAGCGGTATGTCGACGAGTATGTATCGTCCTAGGAAAGAAGGTGCTACTACTACTACCATCACCATCAATGTAAGAATCACCATAACCATAAGCTGTTGGCATCTCCGATCTCCATCTTTCTAGCTTTGTCCTTACCCCTTCACTTTCATAATCCATTATTATTGAGCTCCCTCTTTCCTCAAAGTGCTTAAACTTATTATCCTCTGCAATTGCTGCTGCCACTTCTGATGGCGATGGCCCTATTTCTGATTCAGACCATACCGACCCTGCTGCAAAGTCTTTTGTGATAGATGAGTAATGTGGTAACCAATTGTGCTTTTTGTTGCTAGATATTATTGTTTTATCTTGCGTTGCTTTTGCATTATTATAGTTGTTTGATATCCCTTTAATCGATGAAGCTGCTGCATAACTCACAACTGATTCAGCCTTTTTACCTTCTTGGTCTTTTAATTTAATAGCTAAACTTAGATTTGATCCAACTTCAACTCCATCTATTATAGATAATGGCTTATCAAACGTGTGCTTACCTTTCTTATTATATTCTTCGTTAATATTTTCTGAACCATTGATTATTGAATCATTAGGCTGGGGGAATATGTAACCTTGGTCATATTCATTTTCAAGAATAGAGCTTCTTTCGCTTTTCACACGTCGAAGTTGGTTCAAACCCTTCTGATTATTAGGCTCACCATCTTGGGGATGACTATTATGATTCTCATCTTGACCCATCAACTTTTGATACCCAACAGCTGATGTGCTAAGTTGAGTGTATAATGGCATGCTACGCATGGTGCTATCTAAGACGGTAACACCAACGTTTAAAATACCTTGGGGTCGACCAGATGGGCGACGAACTTGAAGAGCAACGAACCGCATGCCAAGATGGTTGTGATTAAAGGTCCTTGTTTGTGGGGGAATGAGATTGCCTACAAGGACTCGTACCGTGCCCACATGAACATCACGAAACCAATGTAATGCATAAATTTCAATCATAATGGCTGATGTATCTGACTGAAGAAATTGGTTGTCGACACGAAAGACAAACTTATCGTTCCATGTTGGGTTGGTTACACCTTGTGTGTCGACACGGGTGGTAAGCTTTCGATCTGGGTGAACCCATGCCACAGAATACGTTCGCATAGACCGTGCAACCTTAGCTATATCTTGAGCTGATATTAGATTTATCTCTAAGAGTTGGAAGGGTGATAAACCTGCCATTGCTAAAAGTATGATTCTTATATTGTGTGTAGTCAATAAATTATATTATTTTGTGCTTTTTTCTTCTTTTTTTTTTGTAAGAATGCT